TATGGTGTGCTACTCTTAGTTAGGTTCAAGAGCTACTGTGTGCTACTTAGGTTCAAGAGCTACCGTGTGCTACTTAGGTTCAAGAGCTACTGTGTGCTACTTCTTAGTTAGGTTCAAGAGCTACTGTGTGCTACTTCTTAGTTAGGTTCAAGAGCTATGGTGTGCTACTTGTTAGGTTCAAGAGCTACTGTGTGCTACTTCTTAGTTAGGTTCAAGAGCTACTGTGTGCTACTTCTTAGTTAGGTTCAAGAGCTACTGTGTGCTACTTAGGTTCAAGAGCTACTGTGTGCTACTTAGGTTCAAGAGCTACTGTGTGCTACTTAGGTTCAAGAGCTACTGTGTGCTACTTCTTAGTTAGGTTCAAGAGCTATGGTGTGCTACTTGTTAGTTAGGTTCAAGAGCTATGGTGTGTTACTTGTTAGTTAGGTTCAAGAGCTATGGTGTGTTACTTGTTAGTTAGGTTTAAGAGCTATGGTGTGCTACTTGTTAGTTAGGCTCAAGAGCTATGGTGTGCTAGTTAGTTAGGTTCAAGAGCTATGGTGTGCTACTTGTTAGTTAGGTTCAAGAGCTATGGTGTGCTACTTGTTAGGTTCAAGAGCTATGGTGTGCTACTTGTTAGTTAGGCTCAAGAGCTATGGTGTGTTACTTGTTAGGCTCAAGAGCTATGGTGTGCTACTTGTTAGGCTCAAGAGCTATGGTGTGCTACTTGTTAGTTAGGTTCAAGAGCTATGGTGTGCTACTTGTTAGTTAGGCTCAAGAGCTATGGTGTGCTACTTGTTAGGCTCAAGAGCTATGGTGTGCTACTTGTTAGTTAGGCTCAAGAGCTATGGTGTGCTACTTGTTAGTTAGGCTCAAGAGCTATGGTGTGCTACTTGTTAGGCTCAAGAGCTATGGTGTGCTACTTGTTAGTTAGGCTCAAGAGCTATGGTGTGTTACTTGTTAGGCTCAAGAGCTATGGTGTGCTACTTGTTAGGCTCAAGAGCTATGGTGTGCTACTTGTTAGTTAGGTTCAAGAGCTATGGTGTGCTACTTGTTAGTTAGGTTCAAGAGCTATGGTGTGCTACTTGTTAGTTAGGCTCAAGAGCTATGGTGTGCTACTTGTAGCCACTGGTGACGTTCAAGACCAATCCACTACACGAGGTTTAAGACAGCAATTCCCACACCTTAATGTCAGATGTTTGTTGCTATGACAGGCGGTTTAAACTCAAGTGTCTATAACTGATGCACACTTCTCGGTGTATACAAATGATACAACTTCTCGGTGTATGCAGCATAACAGTTATCAGTGTATACCGGCAGGTACTTCTCGGCGTCTACACCCTTGCTGCTTACTAATTTTAGTGCACTCTGGGTACCCCTGGGTAGCTCCACGATATCACATACTCATGTACGCCGGTTAAAATCTAGAGAGATGCAGACGCACACCAGTTTGCTTGATCAGATTGCCAGCCCTCACCAGCAGTACTTAACTAGTAATATCAGTGTCGAAAACGTCAGTGACACTGCAATTTTAGTTTTTACTTTATATATAAAGAAAATTATTCCGCTCAGTTAAAAATTTCGATGTTAAGTAAAATACTGCAGTTGTTAAATATATTTAAAGAACAACAAGGTACAATACCGTGACTGGGATAATACGCAAATAACTTGCACACAGGAGAGAGAAGCTTACTCTGTAAATGGTCCAAGTCAACACGAAACGTTGTCGTAAGTTCCTCTCTCCTCTGTGCGGGTTGAGGGGAGGTTCTGACTAGAGTTTTGGTAAGATGGGGAAGGAAGAAGGATGGGGAAGGATGGAATGTGGGAAAGGTTTGGGAGGGAGGAGGGGGAGGTGAGGTTTTAAAGGTAAGTGGCCTATCCACTCTGGCGCAATTTAAATAAGTGTGCGTGTAAGTTGTGTTATTCATGACATAGTTGGATTGATAAGATAGGTCTACCTTCTACTTCCTGCCCGTCAACTGCAATCCGCAATACCACCTCTATGCCGGTGTCTCACTGCATTTTTTTTTCTGTGCGGGTTAATTGTGTTAAATATATTTGAGCGAGTTGTTTATTAATATATAAATACATATAATTTTTTTATTTTTTTTATTAACACATCGGCCGAGTCCCACCAAGGCAGGGTGGCCCGAGAAAAGAAAAACTTTCATCATTCACTCCATCACTGTCTTGCCAGAAGGGTGCTTTACACTACAGTTTATAAAACTGCAACAGTAACACCCCTCCTTCAGAGTGCAGACACTGTACTTCCGAATAGGCAAAACTTGCGATTTTTGGCTTAAGCAACAACGCTCTTCTTGCCGAATAAGGCAAGCGAAAATTTATGCATGAAATAATTTTGCAAAAATAATTCTGAACCTACAAAAAAAAAATATTTCAATGTGTTTGTTTATTAAATTATTGTAAACTTATCTATAATATATGTTTGGTTGAATTAGGCTAAATTAAATTGTGCTTGTTATAATAAGGCTAGGCAAGTTTTCTAAGGTTCTTTTGGTAAAAAAATTAATTTTTACATTAATATAAATGAAAAATATATATCTTTAAAAGTACAAGAGAATTTTTTTCCAAAGGACTTAATTTTTAACGAGTTCTTGGTAACTGGCCAATTTTACCTATTCGGCTAAGGAGTGTAGTAGCAGGAAAGATGGTGTCTCTACAACACCAGACGCCACTAAACGTTCTTACACAAGAGTATATGTAACTTATTTTCCTTATACATACGTTCCACCGTTATCCCTCATATACCTGGACAAGATCCAGAAAGTTTCTTAGGTAGAGAGTGTATTAAGTGCAGGTGCTTCAACTAGACTGCAGGTCACCTCTACAGCACCAAGAATACGAAGTTCTTGCCAGTATACAGAGACCTGTGTGTGTGTGTGTTGCCTGCTTGCCAGTGTGTGTGTGTTGCCTGCTTGCCAGTGTGTGTTACCTGCTTGCCAGTGTGTGTGTGTGTGTGTGTGTGTGTGTGTTGCCTGCTTGCCAGTGTGTGTGTGTGTGTGTGTGTTGCCTGCTTGCCAGTGTGTGTGTGTGTGTGTGTGTGTGTGTTGTTTGGGCCTGCTTGCCAGTGTGTGTGTTGCCTGCTTGCCATGTGTGGTTGTGTGTGTGTGTGTGTGTTGTCTGCTTGCCAGTGTGTGTGTGTGTTGCCTGCTTGCCAGTGTGTGTGTGTTCCCTGCTTGCCAGTGTGTGTGTGTGTTGGCTGCTTGCCAGTGTGTGTGTGTGTGTGTGTGTGTGTGTGTGTGTGTGTGTGTGTGTGTTGCCTACTTGCCAGTGTGTGTGTGTGTGTGTGTGTTGCCTGCTTGCCAGTTGTGTGTGTGTGTGTGTGTGTGTGTGTTGCCTGCTTGCCAGTGTGTGTGTGTTGCCTGCTTGACACCTGTGTGCGTGCGTTGCCTGTTTGACACCTGTGTGCGTGTGCTGCCTGCTTGACACCTATGTGCGTGTGTTGCTTGACACCTGTGTTGCCTGCCTGTCAAGGATGAGACTCCCTTTCATAGCCTGAGTGAACCGTGACGAGCATAATTATACCAGGTGACACACGTACGTATGTACCAGCGAGGGAACGTCCCCAACACCACAACCACCCCCCATACCCTCTAACACTCACCCCACCAGCCCCACCCTCACTCACTCCTCGTGGGTCACCTCACCAGCCCCACCCTCACTCACACTCGCGGGTCACCCCACCAGCCCCACCCTCACTCACTCCTCGTGGGTCACCTCACCAGCCCCACCCTCACTCACTCCTCGTGGGTCACCCCACCAGTCCCACCCTCACTCGCTCCTCGTGGGTCCTCACCAGCCCCACCCTCGCACACACCTCGTGGGTCACCCCACCAGCCCCACCCTCACACACACCTCGCGGGTCACCCCACCAGCCCCACCCTCGCACACACCTCGTGGGTCACCCCACCAGCCCCACCCTCACACACACTCTGTGGGTCACCCCACCAGCCCCACCCTCACACACACCTCGTGGGTCACCCCACCAGCCCCACCCTCACACACACCTCGTGGGTCACCCCACCAGCCCCACCCTCACACACACCTCGTGGGTCACCCCACCAGCCCACCCTCACACACACCTCGTGGGTCACCCCACCAGCCCCACCCTCACACACACCTCGCGGGTCACCCCACCAGCCCCACCCTCGCACACACCTCGTGGGTCACCCCACCAGCCCCACCCTCGCACACACCTCGCGGGTCACCCCACCAGCCCCACCCTCACACACACCTCGTGGGTCACCCCACCAGCCCCACCCTCGCACACACCTCGTGGGTCACCCCACCAGCCCCACCCTGCACACACTCGCGGGTCACCCCACCAGCCCACCCTCGCACACACCTCGCGGGTCACCCCACCAGCCCCACCCTCGCACACACCTCGTGGGTCACCCCACCAGCCCCACCCTCACACACACCTCGTGGGTCACCCCACCCTCGTTCACACCTCCGTGTACCTTGAGCATACAGCAAACATATTTCCACAAGAACCAGTACGTAGTTATACATCACTGGATGCCATCTTGCCTTTGTAAATGCTAAGAATTTACAAAGGCAAGATAATACTTAGGACTAATAGAACATAAACATTGCACAACATGTCAGATCACAAAAGCACTTTATTGCCTCCACACTTTGAAGAGTGTAGCATGTACATCACAAGAAAAATTACACGAGTTAAGTCCAGGAAAATCAGATACATTGCCAGGTACAGGCGTGCTAAATAGCAGTGTGTGGAGGCAAGCAAGCGCTTTTTATAATTTGACGTGGTGATGGAGTGTGATTAAAATAACATTTATGAAGGGATTCGGGGGAAACCGATTAACCGGACTAGAGTCCTGGAGGTGGGAAATACAGTACCCGCACTGTACTTCCCACGGCGATGATCTGGATGAAGCAAATATCAACCTGCCTTTAGTGTGTCTTGGAAGATGTAAACACTAATACTTCAGGTTAGTTAGAATCTTTGAACGTGGACGAAGTAAGCGTGGACATACCTGGAAGTAGTCGAAGCCCTGGAGGTAGTCGCAGGGCTCCATCTCGGTGGTGTTAAGCTGGGCTGGCTGTGGACATGGGTCGTCTCCACGATGGAAGAACACATTCCTCTGGATCTCGTCCGGCTTCACCGCCGAGGCGTTAACGATGATGTCCCACAGCTTCACCTTGCGGATCTCTTCGATCTCCTCCGGAGTGAACATCCTGAGGAACACGGAGAACACTGGTGAGGAAACTGCTGCGGTGTGTGTAGGGGGAGGAAGGGGTTGGGAGAGGAAGGGGAGGGAGGTTAATAATTATATTTGTCACGTTATTAGAGGACGGAGAATCGAGCCTACATTTCTTACCTTGAATGACTCACAGGGGTTTAGAGTTTTACTTAGCGATACTATCACTGAAGGCTACAATATCGCGGGAACAATGCAACACAAGGAATACCACTACAGAGCTCATCAGTGCACTCGTGTCCCGTAGACAACGAGTTCCCCAAGTAACAAGATGCCAACCAGGGCTAACTTACATGTTGTCAGCGTTCTCGAACCAGAACCTGTCAGCGTCCCTGAGTCTGACGAATTGTTCCTTGATGATGGCCCTGAAGAGTGGTCCGGGACCATCCTGAGTCTCCAGCATACCTCCCACGTACCTGAAACACGTACCAGTAGTTTGACGACGAGAAGAGAGAGGGCAAGATGCTGGAAAGAGTGAGAGGGATGACGGAGATATGAGAAAGGTAGAGAGGAGAGGCAAGGGATAAAAAGCAAGAGTTATATTGGAAGACATTGTTCTACTAGATGGAGTTATTTGGATGTTAAGTTCTGACCACCACTCCTCCCCCCAGCCCAACCCCACTCAGTTAAGCTACAAGCACAACACTCTTAATTAACCTCTTGTCCAGATGTTCAAAACAATCATACCCTAAATGTTCAACGGCACTGAATGTTCATCCTTTTTAACTGTTTAAAGAAAAACAGTTATCGAAGTTTGTTCTCCTCTGTTGTTATAGTTCACCTGTGCCTTAGTTGCCTTCCAGCGGCTCACTTCACCTTACTTCTGTTGACGAGACATATGTGCAACAGTTAGATATCTATTCCGATACGATTCACCTACGCAGTAGGTTTCTTCAGTCGAATACAGAGGCAGCAGCAGATGTAGTGGAGATGTAAACACGACGTAATCAGTCCACACCCTCGAAGACGTAGTTTTAAGGTGACCAGTCAGTACCCTCAGCCTAGAGAAGTTCTGTTCCATTGTCTGGAACAGTGGATTTCTTCATAGAGTCTTCTCGGGTCATGTTTTTCCACATTTCTTTGTTCACCTCAACAAACTGGTTTGTTCAACAATTTACAACACGGCGCTTCCCTCCGTCTGGACGACTAACCTCTCTCCCTCACAACCCACCCTCCAGAGTAGTGCCTCTCCGGGACGTACAAGTTGATTGCCACGTATGTCCAACCCCCATGCACCCAAGTACAGCCGTTAAAGCAGAATACGAGCCACGGGAATGTCAGAAAGTTTCTCTTTAGTCTCGGTAGTTGAAAAAGTATCATGATATCGACAAGAAGGTGGGGAAGCTCCTTCCAATTACAACTTCAAGAGCAGGTACGACAGTGCCCGGGAGGCTAGAGTTAGGTAGATGCCCAAGAGACGAAATCCAGAGTTGTGTAGCGAACACCCGCAAACCAGTTCCCAGGATGGAAGCTCCAGTGGTGCACCCGGACAGAAGCTCCAGTGGTGCACCTGGACGGAAGCTCCAGTGGTGCACCCGGACGGAAGCTCCAGTGGTGTTCCGTTTAGTCTAAGACTAGAGTCGGAGTGACGGTCCTAGACGATAAACCAAACTGCGTCGCCTAGCGAGGCGGACGGACGGAAGGCGAGGTGATGGAAGGGGTAGAGAGAGGCCAGGTGGCACCTCGCATTGAAAAAACACTGACAGGCTACTCACTGAACCCAATATTCGCCAACACACTCTCAGAACACATGATTCATCAATAACTAGGTGTATACACGTGTTAAAGGTAAATATGAATCACAGTATACACACGTCACAATACTGGTGACAGCGAGCAAACACAAGAGACCAATAGAGCGGTCTCCATAAAGTCTACAAGTTGAGTGGATAATTTGTCCCCTGCGGTGAACCACTTTCTTGAAACAAATCACGGAACGAGTGGGGTTAGAACCCAGCTAGTTGGACGAATCTTATTGTAGCCAACTGGCCCAGTGGCTTACGCACTGGCCTGGAGTTTTACGACTCGTTTGCCATGGGTTCTAACTCCACCTGTACCTTGGTTTGTTTGCGATTTCGCGAGTCGCTTTCTTGAAATACCGCAGCTTTGTAAGAAACCTCTTCCGCACCCCTCCCTAAATTCCATAGACCAACACCACCCTAAATTCCGGCCACGATACCCACTCCCTCACCTTGGAAGGTCAATGATGCACAATTATTTCAACAAGGTGCCTGACTCCCCCGAAGCCTTGCTGCAGTTCAAGGCTGCAAGAGTGAGGTGCGGGTGGCAGCGACAACCTAAGTTAGTGCCTTCATTAGTGTGTGCGTCTCTCACACAAACCATGGATGAACAGCTGTCATCACGTCATGTGTGTCAACACTGTCCTCACAGGAACTACTTCAGCAACCTCAACATATGCAAGTCGCTGGAGCGAGATCGGGACTATGTATTTTTGTCAGGAAAGATAATAGACGGAAAGACGTTCAAATCGGCCCTATGAGTTTAGCAATTCCCCATGAATATAATAACCACTGTATTAGTGTAGCTCAGGCTGCAGCCCTTCACTGAAGGTGGTCAAGAAAATGGCTGACTGACCCAGTTACTGGTGTGTCCTCAGCTAGGTCCAGCCTGGCTTTACCGTCTCGACCAATTACCAGACAAATTCCTTAACCTGACTCGCTCATCGATGAGCTTTCTTGATCGTCAGATTAGTTTTTATATTCTCTAATGGCAAGTCCAGCGCCAATCCTTGTGAGGGGTGCCGATCATTGATGTGTTATCCAGTCTGATACGACAGCTAGAGAATAATGGTGATTGTCTATTCTGTGTTGAAGTGTGAAATCATACATAGGATGAGGTAGGTAAATGTTGGAGGTAGGTGTGGAACACAGATGTAGAGGCAGGAGCAACAAAATGAAGCAATATCCAACATTTACTTGATGTAGTAAGCAACATTTTGCAATCGAGGCTCGTGCAAGAACCTGATCTCTCCCGGGGTATTTAAGACATTTTATAAAAAAGGTGAAAGCAACATCATTTTGTCCGTGTATGTGAAATGGAGGTGAAGGAAGGGGAGAGAGGGAGGGAACGAGTGACGGAGGGAGGATGAGGGAGGGAACGAGTGACGGAGGGAGGATGAGGGAGGGTAATTACCTATATGTAGTGACAACTCATTTAATGCTCGTCATGCCTGACATTGTCTGTTCATAGTTTACATTTCATTCTAGTTGTCTACCACTATTTATCCCTTCGAGTGGGAAGCCTTGGTACTAGAGAAGGTTTCACCTTCTTTGGATCAAACTTTGATTATCTTCCACTTCCCAGTCGTTGTATTTCCTGTTCTCTAATCAACACTGTAGTTTTCACATCTCTCCCGTATTTCAAGAAGGAATTTCCTGTTTCTTCACTCATTGTTATTAACATTTCTTAACTCTGGAATCCAGTATATTCCATGGACTTTTAACTTTTCCTATTTGGCTTTTTTTTTTAAGATGGTGACGGCATACAAAAGCCGCATGTTTAAATTTTGAAGTCTGTCAAGTTTACCAATATATAAAAAGTCTATTACTGCTGCATTTAAGAATATCACAAATTATCTTTCTGGGCCTTCCTTTATTTTATTTCTACGAAGTGTTAATTTAACTAGCTTATCCCATCATCCACAAACACTCATAGCATTATTTATGACTTACGTCAAACAATTTATGAAGATTTAAAATATTACCGGAGCCAGCGCTGATCCATGTGCGATCTTACTTTTAACATTTCCCCATCCTCCGAGGCCATTTTTCCACATTACAAAATACAAGACAAGTGATCAACTCGGTGAGGGTTAGGCCTCACCTGCTGCAGCTCTGGTTACGTCCGTCTTACGGGGATCACATCTCTCTGGTTGACAGCGTATTCAAAAATAAAACGAAAAGTTAATTAGAAAGGCAAAATTAGAACTGCCAGGGACAAAAGGATACTAGGAGGTGTGGGAACCACTAGTGACGAGTGACATGTCAGGGAAGGAGGAAACTGAAAGAGGTACGTGGTAGAGGCCACTAGTACAAAAGATATAGAGAAGAGGGGTCAAAAACTATGCATGCCAGGATGACTTACAGGTCAATGTTCCAGAGTTTATCCTGGTAAAGATTCTTGAGTTGTTCGATTAGGTGAGGGCTGTCTATGGCGAGCACCGGGTTGATCTCCTCCCAGGTGTTGACGGGAGCCAGGTGAAAGCATTTCCTGACGGTGTTGTAGTCTGGCAGTCCATTGTCACGGCCTCGCATGATGTTAAGCGCCCCTGCACACCCAAACAAGAGGCTAATATAAACAACTGATAACTGTCCAGGTAAGTTAAACACAGGATAGTAACCTGGGTAAATAAGCAATGTAGAAATTAGAAAAAACGGGATAAACAAAAATAATAAAGCACCACACTAACACAAACTCTAAGACCTAAATATGTTCCTGAAATGGAAGAGGAGATAATCGTATAAATATGTAATGCGTGTATAGGGAGCACCAGGGAAGAACAGCATACCCGAGGAGTGGAAAAGAAAGAATGAAAAGTGAGGAAACAAGAAGAGCAACAAGATAGCTATAATCAACATTGCAGAGAGAACCTAACAGTCAAAAGAAAGTTAAATAAGAAAACATTATCGTAGGTAACAAGTGGCATGTTGACACCCACTCTGGAGGAAGACGAAGGAAAGGCAAACATCTTGAACACGCCAACCTTCAACACTACCACCAACACTAGCTAACACCAGACTAAAAGAGCTGGTAGTTCCAGAGTTCGATATCACTCGGCTCTGTGAAGGTGAAGAGAGGGCTGGAAGTTGCACAGACTGGGAGGAAAGAACTCTGACTAGGGAAGCACATTAGCATTACGACGTCAGTATATGAGAGTCTGGCAAACCTAAGCAGCATATTTTTTTAGGACACAGTATGTAACATATAAACGGTCAGTCATAGTAAGCGGCTCGAGGTTGATCCCACATCTGATTAAGCATGTACAGAAAACTGAGAAATTACAGGGCTGTTAACAAAATTAGTCCTGGAGCAGACAGGCATATACTATGAGAAGAGTAACAAAACTGCATTTAAGGAAGAACCACAGAAGACACGTTTATGACTTGCAAGATATTTTGAGGAACTGACAGGGCGACAGGTACATACTGACATGTGAGGAACGAGGGAACAAAAGGACGCGGGACACAGATGAGCCAAAGCGATGTTAGGAAATCCTCTTCTAGTATTGGGTAGGAGAATGGAAAAACCTGGATCGAGAAAAGGGCTGAAAGTAAACTCGGTTATACAGTTTCAAGAGTACATACAAGTGGTCTTAAAAGGCCACAAACCACTAACGCGAGGCTAGAAGCAAAGACAGACCCCAGTGTACAAATCGTTGAGCACACCAAGTGCCAGCCAAGTTGTTTACATTACGTGTGGTTTCAGAGCTCCTGAGAGGAAAGTGAAAGTAAGGAAAAGGAAGGAGATAGAGTACACGCTCAAAATTGTGTATAAACAATGTTAATTGGCCTGAATTTTTACGCAGAGCTTAGGGAGGCGAACGACGGAACGACATACAATAAGAAAAATGAACTTGATTGAAATGATTCGAGCTTATGTAAGGAGGCAGTAATCAGGTTTGCTCCTGCTGAAAGACGAGTCATCCCTTGGATGACGAGCCTTTCAGCAGGAAGTGTTAACTCACCAAGGTCGCGCCTGGAGAACTCAAGGGGACCGAAGAGCTTGTTTCTGACGTCTGAGCAGAGTACATGGTCCTCCTGCTCTGCTAGTTGTGAGGCTAGACCTCGCATCAGCTCCTCCACAGTGTCCTCCCTCATCACGTCCTGCCAGGGGACACAAATACACTTGTATACCCACACTACTATGGTACTACTTGCGGTGCAGGAAAAATATAGTAGTTAATGAGAATAAACATATAAAATCAACCAATCTTTAAAGAGATTTACAGTAGAAATCAAAATACTAATTTGATTGAAACTGGTATTATTAAGAACACAGTGCAACATAACTGTTAAGTGTCATAATAAAAAGACCTGGCACCATTACTGAAGTGGCACTGGTGGTAGTGGTACACCGCAATAACTCTCACAGCAGTAGTAGCAATGGCCGCCACCAGCACCCAGACAGCTCTAATAAATGCCACTAAATGAAAGATGCCATTGTAAGTGCCAAGGTAGAGAGAATACACCCTCCTCTATACCCGAGCTACAACAGGGGAAAGTGGGAAGTGGGAGGGGAGGTCATTGTTTGACCAGCCGGGCTGTGGTTCCTACGTTGGATTGCATGTGGCCAGCAGTCACAAACAATTCAATTAGGTGCTGATCCACCGTGAGTCCTGGTCATGGACAGGGTCACGGAGGCGTTGACCCCCGAACTCCCGTAAATAGACTCCACTACTAAATCATTACTTCATCACCAAACTATATAGTCTCTTGACCCTTGGCTGCCTCCTAGCCGACCTTTACTTGACCTCACTTCTGGTTTTCTATCCATACTATCATTCTCGACCTGATAATTTAGGACCACCTGAAACTTCAAGTTTTGTTCAAAATTTGTAGGTTAGTTGTTAACTGTTAAAGCCAAGGTATTGTGACGTCTTTTCCTGGTAGAAGACACCGAAGACAACATGCAACAGCTCCAGGAGCAGCACCAGCAGTAAAGCACCTGCAGCAGCTCCTGAAGACTACTTCCATCATTCCAGCTGCTGCATCCTGGAAGGCTTCCAGGAAGGTTTCCAACGTCCTTCTGTACAAAATCTCCTCCTCCACTAACTTTACAGATTTTGGAGTTCCAGAGCAAGAAATTCAGAAAATGTGTCTAAGTACAGGATCTGTAGACACTTCATCCAACACAAGCAGCAGGCAAGCCAGAGACAAGTTACAAAACAGAAAGAGATCCCTTCGTAACACTATATAAAAACCCAAGCTGATCATCCTACTTATCTAAATACAAAAAATTACAGATTACATTATAGTTAACTACCAGTGAAGAATTGGAGAATGGTGGTAAGAGGTGACAGGAGATGTGAGAGGAGAGTGAACAAGCAGAAGGTAAGGAGAGAAAGTTAAAGAAGGTGGAGAAAGAGATCGTAGAGAAAGAGTGAGAGAAGAGTGGAAGAGAAGACGTAGTTAGAAAGAAGAAGTGAAGAGAAGAAAGTTACATAGATGAGAGAGAGAGGTGGAGAGAGAGAGAGAGGTGGAGAGGAGAGAGAGGTGGAGAGGAGAGAGAGGTGGAGAGAGAGAGGTGGAGAGAGAGAGAGAGGTGGAGAGAGAGAGAGGGTGGAGAGAGAGAGAGGTGGAGAGAGAGAGAGAGTGAGAGAGAGAGAGAGGTGGAGAGAGAGAGAGAGGTGAGGAGAGAGAGAGAGAGAGAGAGGAGAGAGAGAGAGAGAGAGAGAGACAGAGAGACAGAGAGAGAGAGAGAGAGAGAGAGAGAGAGAAGACAGACAGACAGTCTTAACCAGGTGGTCGATTCCGTCAGTTCAGCAAGTAGCCGAGAGAAAAAAAACAGAATTTCCAGTACTGTGTTGTAGAAAATTGAGGTCAGGTTATAATTAAGCTTCTAATTAGTAACTTATTGAGCAAGACTGTGGCAGTGCAGGTAGTGGTGTTAGTGGTAGTGATACTGCAGGTGGTGGCAATGGTGGTGTTGGTAGTGCAGGTAGCAGTGGTGGTGGCATTAGATGTACCAGTGAAGAACTGATTATAATTAAGGTGGTGTTGATACATGTGTAAGTTATGTATCACCCACCTACAACAGGAAGGATGAACAGGCTTAGCTGCCGCCATCAACAAAATTATCAATGAACTACAGGTCCAGGACACACAGGTCCAGTAGCATTATCATACCTCTTCTTAAAGCGATGTAAGGATCGTGCCTCCAATACATCACTTTCCAGATTATTCCACTTCCTGACAACTGTGTGTGTGTGTGTGTGTGTGTGTGTGTGTGTGTGTGTGTGTGTGTGTGTGTGTGTGTGTGTGTGTGTGTGTGTGTGTGTGTGTGTGTGTGTGTGTGTGTGTGCGTGCGCGCGCGCGCGCGCCTGTCAGTTTGTCTGTCCGTCCGTCCTAGTCGTCAGTGTTTCATAGCATCTCTCCTCATGACCACAACAGGGAAGCTACTCAGCAGGTACTGACAGTGATCTGGTACATGAACCAAGCAAGAATAGTGGGGTATTCAGCGAAGCTGAAAACGCAGATGAGCCTCTGGGATGTTAGGAAATACTTCTTCAGTTTAAGGATGATGCGGGGAAGGAACTGGACGATGAGGTGGAATTAAGATATGGTGCCAGGACCCAGAGGCTCGAACCCCCTCCCCTCAGATACAACATAATTAGTAAACACAATGGATGCTACACAAACACGAAGTGTGCTGAAATGCCCTAGCTGGGCAGCATAATACGGAAGATACTGTTAAGGTTAATACTCCCTACCTCTCTCTCTCCCCACCCCTTCAATGTCCTACTGAAGTCTCCAAGCTCAGGCTGAAACATTTCGACACTACGAAATTCATCCTGTGTGATGAAATATGACGAGGAGACAGCTGGGTTTTGTTCCTTCTGTGCCATTATTATATACGTATACAGTAGCAGAACACTGTTTATATATCCAATTTTGATCAAAGAAAAAAACTTGGCAGGCGTGTCGTGATTGAGAGTCGAACGCTTTCACCTCAGTGAGAACGTTCGATTTACAATCACAAGGTCCTGGGTTCGATTACCTGACATGGAGAAACATAAGGGGCAAGTTTCCACGCAACTCTGCTCCCCCTGACCGCCTAGTAGCAAAAATAGGTACCCGTGTGTTAGCTAACTGTTGTGGGTCGCACCCAGGGACAAAATGTGTTTCAAAACGCCAGACCTACTGGAATCTCAATGTATATTACGTAGGAAAGCACTCCAGTACTATGCAAGAAACTCCAGTACCTGGCGAAGAATTTAGGTGCTGGATGAAAGGGTTAAGTGTTACCTAATGATATTAATTAATTCGCCACATTTTTAGCAATTTTCAAGTAACACTCCACCTCTGCTGAAACCGAACTACTGAAGCTATCGCAGATATTATATTCAGCGATATCCTACATGATATATGCATCACATTACCGAAGTCTCCCAACAGACTGATATTTCACTACCTGGAGTACGAAAGCCATCCTGTGCAATGTAATATGACGGGAAAACATTGTTAGCTTTTGTTCCTGCACTGTCACATGACGAGCCCAACAACACTCACCTGATGTACCTAAATGTACTTTAATTATTTTCCCTTCCTTTCTTAGTTTCTCACTTCCTCTTCGTCTCTCTTCCTCTCCCTCCCCTAGACACACGCCAGGGAGGGGAGCTGCGACCTCTCCCTCCCCGAGACACGCCAGGGGGGGGGCTGCGACCCCTCCCTCTCCTAGACACGCCAGGGAGGGGAGCTGCGACCCCTCCCTCCTCTAGACACGCCAGGGGGGCTGCGACCCCTCCCTCCCCTAGACACACGCCAGGGGGGGGAGCTGCGACCTACATTTACAGTCATCAGGTGAATGATACACAACCTTCACCACAGACTTCTTTTTTTTTTATTTTATAAACTCCTATGTCGCAACACCAACGTCTACACCCACACCTGCTCTCACGCCCACACCTGCTCTCACGCCCACACCTGCTCTCACGCCCACACCCGCTCTCACGCCCACACCCGCTCTCACGCCCACACCCGCTCTCACGCCCACACCTCTCACGCCCACACCTCTCACGCCCACACCTCTCACGCCCACACCTGATCTCACGCCCACACCTGCTCTCACGCCCACACCCGCTCTCACGCCCACACCCGCCCTCACGCCCACACCGCCTCACGCCACACCCGCCTCACGCCCACACCCGCCTCACACCCCACACCCGCCCTCTCACACCCACACCCGCTCTCACACCCACACCCGCTCTCACACCCACACCCGCTCTCACACCCACACCCGCTCTCACACCCACACCCGCTCTCACACCCACACCCGCTCTCACACCCACACCCGCTCTCACACCCACACCCGCTCTCACACCCACACCCGCTCTCACACCCACACCCGCTCTCACACACCCACACCCGCCTCTCACCCACCCCACACCCCGCTCTCACACCCACACCCGCCTCACATCCCACACCCGCTCCACACCCACCCCGCTCTCACACCCACACCCGCTCTCACTCACACCCACACCCGCTCTCACACCCACACCCGCTCTCACACCCACACCCGCTCTCACACCCACACCCGCTCTCACAACCACACACATGCTACAAACAAGAATAAGACACACTTACTACAAGGAATTAAGTAGTAAATCAGGTATATTGGTATATAAATGATGGAGTTTACGTTACATTCAAAGAGTCGGTCACTAAACCACACAAAGAGTCGGTCACTAAACCACACAAAGAGTCGGTCACTAAACCACACAAAGAGTCGGTCACTAAACCACACTGCTGTGTTTGTTACACCTTCGTGTAACTTGTATTAATACATCCACGTGTTTGTCAACTATTCATACAACATACTGGACGTCGACCCTTCATACAACATACTGGACGTCGACCCTTCATACAACATACTGGACGTCGACCCTTCATACAACATACTGGACGTCGACCCTTCATACAACATACTGGACGTCGACCCTTCATACAACATACTGGACGTCGACCCTTCATACAACATACTGGACGTCGACCCTTCATACAACATACTGGACGTCGACCCTTCATACAACATACTGGACGTCGACCCTTCATACAACATACTGGACGTCGACCCTTCATACAACATACTGGACGTCGACCCTTCATACAACATACTGGACGTCGACCCTTCATACAACATACTGGACGTCGACCCTTCATACAACATACTGGACGTTGACCCTTCATACAACATACTGGACGTTGACCCTTCATACAACATACTGGACGTTGACCCTTCATACAACATACTGGACGTCGACCCTTCATACAACATACTGGACGTCGACCCTTCATACAACATACTGGACGTCGACCCTTCATACAACATACTGGACGTCGACCCTTCATACAACATACTGGACGTCGACCCTTCATACAACATACTGGACGTCGACCCTTCATACAACAGTGTTTCATTCATGGCTTTTTGCCACCTGTGTCATCCTTCAAAACTATATTTATATGCACTTTTTTCCCTTACCCTGCCAAGTGTTGTGTAGGCTGTAATAACATCTTCCACGACCCTTCGCTCTCACAATCTCAAGACTCGCTTCAAGTTTTACCCAGTGCTCATCCTCGTCAGCTCCGAAACTAGTCTGGTTGTAAACCTTTCATCCAAGTTGACTAGAGGACTAGCCTGGTTGTAAACCTCTCTCTCATCCTAGTCAGCTCCAGGACTAGTCTGGTTGTAAACCTCTAGACACTGGGGAGTTTCTAGCATTAGCTGGTCTCCGTACTGATGCTTCACACTGAGACTGCAGAGGCTAACGTGTCTGATGGACTTTTGAACGACTCCGTTTCCTTTTCTGATGACAGTCACATTGATCTTTAATTGACGACGTCTCGCTCATATTTGCTCGAAACGTCAATAAAAGCTTTCATATAACTGCATTTGAGTCTCTTCCATCGTGTCCTTATCTCTTACCATCACCTATCCACGCGTCCTTCGTGTAACAAGATTTGTATGCGCTTACAGGGATACTAAAATAATTTGGATAATATAATGAAAGTCTCTCATTTCACTAACTATAGAGAGATCTCTTACAAGGAGGAACACCTTGAAAATACACGTGCTCGGGTACTTACGTTAGCGTCCCACCAGGTGGAGCAGAGACGGAGTGCTGAGTACCCGTTCTGGGTCTTGAGGAAGGGGCAGTCCTCTCCAGGACCTCGAAGGTACAAGCCAGGGGGTACAAGCGTATGACCGAACCTGCAAGCAGTAACCACCACATACTTGGTTAGCATCTGTTCCTTAATTTACAAATAGGCAAATAGAAAATTACACCTTAATCACAACCATACATCAGCACGTACACGCATCAGGAGCTGGTATGCACTGTCACAGTTCCTATGATATTGTGAGGAACTCCTTGTTACCCTGACAATATATGGTTAGAGAAACGCTGAAATATGTTTACAACGTCTGTTAGATCAAGTTGGCATATGCGTATGCAGCGGCTGGTTTAACTCGTAGCAGTGAGCGAGGTACTAGCTGAAACCTGCTGACTGGTAGCTACTAAACCGGTAGATTGTTCACAATGGAGTGAATTATTAACTTATATAATTATTCCATCGACAACTGTCTATGAAGCGTATGCACAGTTTCGTTATGAAGCTGAAACTATATGTACCTGTCTTTGGGTATAAAGACTGTGAAATGTTTCGATAACGTGATATCAGTTCATAAATGAGCTGAATTAATGTGCAACAAATAATGTACTTGAATAACTGACTGTATTCTTGCCGTCATGGCAGATTTCGTGTATTTGTAGCCTCGACAACTAGACACATGAAACTGTTTGCTGGTGGTAACGACCTTCGTTCACAAAGCTTTTGAGACGTAGAAACAGTGCCAACCAAGAGCTTTAAATCGTGATACAAAACTTGTCCACTAAAAGTCTTGCTCGTCTTACTCGTGTTACTCACGGACGCTATGGCTTTGTGGGGGTTTGCAGCAGCACACCTCCTTTGTTTACATAAAGTTACCAGAGTGTAGTCACCACACTAAACGTTGTACAACAAGTCTTCCTTAAGTTACAGCCTGTGTGCAATACAAATTGTACATCGGACACACCGTGCACAAGTCCTTGTGTGTTCACACGAGTGTTAACACCAAGACGTAGCTCTGTGAGGTGACACGTTGCCACAAACAATGTACAGTATGACCACGTTCCTTATGTCACAGGATTTAAGAGTTGTACACCAGGAGTTATTACAAGCTACGCACCACTTACAGCTAAGAACAGCTGATATACAAGCATTTAAGAGGTTAGTAACACCAGTGTGATTAACTAAGTAACCGACACCACGTTTGAGGTGAAAAGCAGCGATGTATTCAACTACTACACAGAGCGTAGAGAGTACACTATGTAACCACACACTCATCGCGAGGGCAAGACAGACACACGCACGACACACACAACAACACACGCAGACACACACACACACACACACACACACACACACACACACACGCAGACACCACACACGCAGCCCACACACACGCAGACACACACACACGCAGACACACACACACGCAGACAACACACCACCACCACGCAGACACACACACACGCAGACACACACACACGCAGACACACACACACGCAGACACACACACCAGACGCAGACACACACACACACGCAGACACACACAGACACACACACACGCAGACACACACACACGCAGACACACACAACACGCAGACACACACACACGCCAGACACACACAACACGCAGACACACACACGCAGACACACACACGCAGACACACACACGCAGACACACACACGCAGACACACACACGCAGACACACACACGCAGACACACACGAGGATATATTTACAATCCCCAACTACCATCACTCTCACCCGCAGGCACAAGATTGATGATACTTGACACTCAGTACACAGAGAGAACACGTGGCATTGTTGACACTTGGCACCTGGTTACATTTTACATCTGGTAAGGATACGAGACACTGTCCCTGACTAAGATACGTGGTTACATTCACACCTGGTTAGTTCAAGTAGTTACGGTCACACAGCCTTTCTAGGATATGCGACAACGTTTGCACCAGACACCTGGTTAGATCACAGGACAAAGTGAGCACCTGCTTTGAACACTCAAGGACAAGCTGAACTGGGAGGTCAAAAGTGTTATGTTAGGCACGCAGAAGTGTGAAGACACAGGTGTATGACAGGGACACATGCACAGGTGTACGAGGGACACGTGCACAGGCGTACGAGGGACACGTGCACAGGCGTACGAGACACGTGCACAGGTGTACGAGACACGTGCACAGGTGTACGAGACACGTGCACAGGTGTACGAGACACGTGCACAGGTGTACGAGACACGTGCACAGGTGTACGAGACACGTGCACAGGTGTACGAGACACGTGCACAGGTGTACGAGACACGTGCACAGGTGTACGAGACACGTGCACAGGTGTACGAGACACGTGCACAGGTGTACGAGACACGTGCACAGGTGTACGAGACACGTGCACAGGTGTACGAGACACGTGCACAGGTGTACGAGACACGTGCACAGGTGTACGAGACACGTGCACAGGTGTACGAGACACGTGCACAGGTGTACGAGACACGTGCACAGGTGTACGAGACACGTACACAGGTGTACGAGACACGTACACAGGTGTACGAGACACGTACACAGGTGTACGAGACACGTACACAGGTGTACGAGACACGTACACAGGTGTACGAGACACGTACACAGGTGTACGAGACACGTACACAGGTGTACGAGACACGTACACAGGTGTACGAGACACGTACACAGGTGTACGAGACACGTACACAGGTGTATGACACACACACACGCAGGTGTATGAGAGACACAGGTGTATGAGACACACAGGTGTATGACACACACAGGTGTATGACACACACAGGTGTATGAGGCACACACACAGGAGTATGAGACACACACACAGGAGTATGAGACACACACACACACACACACACACACACAGGAGTATGAGACACACACACAGGAGTATGAGACACACACACAGGAGTATGAGACACACACACAGGAGTATGAGACACACACAGGAGTATGAGACACACACAGGAGTATGAGACACACACACAGGAGTATGAGACACACACACAGGAGTATGAGACACACACACAGGAGTAGGAGACACACACACAGGAGTAGGAGACACACACACACAGGAGTATGAGACACACACACACAGGAGTATGAGACACACACACACAGGAGTATGAGACACACACACAGGAATATGAGACACACACACAGGAGTATGAGACACACACACAGGAGTATGAGACACACACACAGGAGTATGAGACACACACACAGGAGTATGAGACACACACACAGGAGTATGAGACACACACAGGAGTATGAGACACACACACAGGAGTATGAGACACACACACAGGAGTATGAGACACACACACAGGAGTATGAGACAGGTGTGTAAAGGATATTACAGGTTTATAAAAATGACAGGGGTGTGTGTGTGTGTGTGTGTGTGTGTGTGTACAGCAGAGACAAGGACACAATACAGATGTGGAGACACTACAGGTGTCTGGACCTACCTGAAGGCAGCAGACTGGAAGACATGGGAGACGCCAGGGTGGATGTCGGGTCGATATCTCTGGTAAGCTTCCACAGACTCGCCCAGGAACGCCGGTAGAAACTCGTACATGATAATGTTCTGGCGAGGGAGAGAGAGACGGGATCACAATAGTGTCAAGAGATCACTATACTTGACTAACGTCACCATTATATGACCATAAAGGATCAATACTCGCATGGCTACAATAACAAAGCTACGACTGCGTCAATATAGTCGTAACCAGACTACGTGGACACCATTATCCCAGACGGTAATGAACAACTTCAAAGAACCAAGTCAACGGGAATAAATGACTTCAAAGGAATAAATAATGTCAGCCAGGAGAAATAAACTGATTTACAAGAGAAGAGACTGACGTCAAAGATAACGTCACAATGTCAGAGGGAATAAATGTCGCCAAGGGAATGACGTCAAGGGAATAAATGACGCCAAGGGAATGACGTCAAGGGAATAAATGACGTCAAGGGAATAAATGACGTCAAGGGAATAAATGACGCAAAGGGAATAATGACGCCAAGGGAATAAATGACGTCAAGGGAATAAATGACGCCAAGGGAATAAATGACGTCAGGGCAAACAGAACTTGCATGAGTGTTTTAAGTAGCAGTTTGAGAGGGAGGGGAAGGGGGGGGGCGGCCTTCACGCTTCGGCAGCCCCCGTTCCTTCACCCCCATCCCAGCAACCCGCCGTGGGGGTGGTCGTGTGGGCGTGGGACTAACCTGGAGGTGGGCGGTGAGTATCCTGCGGGCTCGCTGGAAAATATCCTCGTCACACCAGTCAGGGTGGGCGGCCTGCACGCGGCCGGCCAAAACGTTGTGCCAGCGAAACATCAAGATGCCGAAGGCCAGCAGCGCCGGGTTCTGATTGGTCCTCTGGTCACCCAACACTGTACCAGGTAAACAACTACACTGTAACGGGCAACCAAAACACCGTACCATGCAAACAACTCACATTGTACCAGGCAAACAATGACGGTTTTTGCATGACATTATGCCAAGCACACGCGCACACGCACACGCACACACACACACACACACACACACACACAACACACACACACACACACACACACACACGTGTGCGCGTATGTATGTGCGTGGGTGTACGTGCTGGAGGGAGGAGGCTCTACCCCTCTATATTCAAACGGGTTACAAGCAACAAGATGCGACACTCACAGAAAATCCTCTCTGGGTTGAGTATCTTGAGAACGTGTGGAGTGGGGTTGTTGAACATGGGGATCCTCTCAGTGTTGCGTGGAGGCATGGTAGGGTCGCCAGGAGCAGTCCTGAATGTGCCGTTTACAAACGACCTTAGCATGTTAAGTCGAGCTTCACTGATGCTGTACACGAAGCTAGCGTCAAGCCACGACGTCACATAGTTCAACTGCAACCACGACAGGTAAAAATTAAAATAAATATATATATATATATATCTGTATTTAAGGAATAAAAGAAAGTACAATATCGTGTGCGGAACATTAATACACAAATACGATATAGGACAGAGAAGCTACGACGTTTCGGTTCAACTTGGACCATTTACTAGTTACACTGTGACTTGTAAATGATATAAGTTAGACAGAAACGTCTCCATAAGCTTCTATGCTCGGATTATTTGTATACAGAACTATTTTGGTGGTTGTGCAATGCCAGAAAGACATCCCCGTGTTGTGTAAGCCTAGCCTCCCGCACCTTCATGCACACGATAGCGCAGAGTGCGGCACAAGTTTCTAATACAGTTAAATATTATTCTTGAAGACCTGAAGTGAATTAGAAGAGGTATTTACACGTTCTCATAGGTATACTATTGTCTCAAGTTTCCTCATTGGCAAATTATGACTGCCTAATATTAATTCAAACCTTCCACTGGGTAACGCCACATTGTCTTAGAAAGACCACCATCGTAAAATACACAGGCACATTAATTCTGAAGCCGCTCAGAATTTGCACTATCAACTTATCATCGTTGAAGCTAATCAGATGAGGCACTCAAAAATTACCGCGTGAAAACCAGCATTTCCCCCAGTTTCTTACAATAAATGCAATCTGGGAGCCACACAGCACCCCCTCACACTCCAACAGCACATCAACTCCTAAAAGCCACTTGTCTCCACTTACTCCGATCTAACAGGCTCTCACGCTTGCTGGATGCTCAACCTCCCTCCACTCACTCTCCATATATTCTGCCTTTCTTCTGCTTTTCAACCCGTCCTCACCAAAGGCATGTTTATTTCTCACATACGGTCTATAGCAAATTTCTAGATTCACGATAAATATTTCTTAATGAGCAAAAAGACACCGGGAGCCACCAAACGCTGCTCAAGACTCGTATTTTGAAATTACTGTTGACTCGTTAGCCGAGGGAGAGGTGCACAGGGAGATGTTGGAGCTGGCACCACTCCTTGTGCTGCATAATCCACGTGTGTCTAGCACTTACACAAGTCAGAACACTAGATTATTACTTAATCTGCGTTGTAAAGTAACAACAGTGTCAGGTGTTGTGTGCTCCCACATTTCTAGCCACGAGACTTGGCATTCCGTCGACTTTGCTGTTCACAGTTCAACACTGTTTAGGATTCCTTACATGACTGTCAATGACAGTGACAACTGCAAGGTCGTCCTCTCAGATGAAGCTAGCAAATATTCTAGTCTCGGCTAGCAAGCTAGCAAATATTCTCGCTCAAGCTAGTAAATATTCTCGCTCAAGCTAGTAAATATTCTCGTCTCGGCTAGCAAGCTAGCAAATATTCTAGTGGAAATAAATGGTATAAAATACCGACACAATGGAAAAATAAACACACAAGCAGTATAATGTGATCCTTTATTGACAACGTTTCACCCACAGAGTGGGCTTTATCAAGTCACAAACAGATCTATTTGTGACTTGATAAAGCCACTGTGTGGGCGAAACATTGTCAGTAAAGGATCACATTATACTGCTTGTGTGTTTATTTTTCCAAATATTCTAGTCTTCACACTTACTACTTACTTAAAACATTACTCTGTACAACCCGGCGAGTGTCAACACAAACTTCACCTTGCACAAGTCTGGTGACTGCACCAGTCTCTTACACAATCATATATAGAGTACATGCACAAGGAGGATTAACAACACACACAAACAAGTGATATACCATCAATATGTATACATAAACAAGAGTACATGTACTCTACGCCCCAAACAGTCTTTACCTATCTACCTCTCTTCTCCATCTACTAGTCTATTTTATATCATTTGTATACCTGTACATATTATCTACATTTCTCGACACCTCTGCCAGCCCTTCTATCTACCAACGTATCTATCTCTTTTTTTTTTACCTGCCTCCTTATCTTCCTCCAACATCTTTCCTTCACTCTTCTTAAAATACTCCTCCCTCGCAATTCTTTCTCTTATTCCATTACTGGCACACATACCTCTTCCTCCCCTTTTTTCATAGTCTTTCCTGCGGAAACTAACTGCCACTCCTGCATGCTACGTTACCCTCCCTCCCTAACACGCAATGTTAGCCTCCCCCACTACATGCTACATTACTCTCCCCCCCCTCTCCTCAGTATATGGTTTGTAGGCCAGGTGGGGGTGAAAGCCCTGCTGTGGTTATAGGGGGTCAAGGGGATGTGGTAGTTTTGTAAGGGGTAGATGATGCGGGTGGGGGGTGAGTGGGGAAGTGTGGTTGAGGGGGGCTCTTAAATCCATGAGAAAAGTGATAGGTGGCAGTAAACCCATGCAAGTGTGAAGGTTAGGTTAAAAGAGCACCTTGCAACAGCAGCCGTAGGTTAATAGAGTACTTTGAAATAACGGCTGTCGATTAGACTAAGCCTTTCACACGAACATAAGAGAGGAAGAATGTAAGAAGGAATTAACACTGCAGCAGGGATACTGACCCATACTCAGCAAGTCCTTCTCAAATCCAAAATCCCTCACCAATACACGTCTAAGCCATTAGTAAAGCTAGACAAAGCATCAGTCAATAACACTAATAAGCCATGCTAGGCAGGCCCTACCAACCTTCTCACTCACTGCTCTACTCTTTAAGATGCAGTTAATTCTCCTCATATACGCAAGTCAGATGCTGCTTCTATCTTACACGATGTCACTGAGTGTCATTGGCACTCTGCTCATGATCTACTGGAGCTCTGTGTGACCCTCGCCTTGACCTTACCTGCCCCTGTAGACCTTCGTGCCACCACCAGTGTCCTGTATGACCCTCACATTGACCTTACTTACCCCTCCTCGGCTGGAAAGGTCAATGACATTTCTCTAAGTATCCACCTATTGTGACTAATTGCAACGCAATTTTTCTTTCCTTCCCTCCTCTACCACGCCATGACCAGCCATCATGAATGACCCGAGGTTACACGACCTCCTTGACCACCTACCTGCTCGCGGGGACTGTTGGGGCTCTGACCGGTGGAGTAGTCGTAACCAGCGCGATGGAAAGGCATGAACTTATTGCCGGTACACTGCTGGTCGTACATCTCGTCACACTTGTCGATGTCGATCTTGTGAAGTTCGATGGGACAGCTCAGCTCCGAAGCCTGGAGCACCTCTGATGACACCACCTGACCTGCCAACACAACCACACAATACATTAGCAACACCACCTGACCTGTCAATACATCAGTTACACCACCTGGCCTGCGCCAGGGGAGTGGAATATGGTGGGAGGAAAGAAAAAGAAGGGATAAAATAGGGAAAGAAGTTCGTCAGATCACTCGGCACTGCTGGCAATAAAATACCATACGCAAAAATATCTATCCAAGGTCACAGTAACAAACTCTCGTCTCCTTTTTCATATTATCGACACTCTCGTTAGATGATGGGAAAGAGGAGACAAAAGCAAACGTCCACAGATTTCTTAGATTCAAACCGGGGTATGTCAAGATTACAGTCCACCGTGCCTACCACTGAGCCAGCACCACTAACAATACTCACCAAGTCCTCAGTTGTTCCTAGTTACACTTAACTAAACCTCTGGGGGAGACTTTGCAGCTCCTCTTAAGAATCTCGTTCAGTACAACTTTTTTTAATCGATGACAATTTTGTTCCAACAAAAGTTGAAAACGGCCTCTACTACGTCTCCCCAAACACGTGAAGGCTATTGCGAGGCAAGTTTTTCAGTGGGTTGTGGTGTAGTCTGCCACTGTCGCACAAGTGTCCCTCACACTACGTTCAGTGGGTTGTGGTGTAGTCTGCCACTGACAAGATTCTTCCGGTGACAATTTCGTCGATAAATGCTCCAAGATCTACCTCGGTCGAAATAAATGGTATAAAATACCGACACTCTTCCTTTCCTTGATGTTCTACTCTGCAAAGCTGACCACGAACTTCGTTTTAAAGTCTATCGAAAACCCACCAACCAAAACGATCTTCTCCACTTCTACTCTCACCACGACACCAAAACCAAACGTGGTGTAATTATAGGCTTCTTCCTGCGTGCACTCAGAATCTGCAGCAACGAGTTCCTTGAGGAAGAATGCACTATAATTGAACAGGTATTTTCCAAACTCCACTATCCTCGTCACTTCATCAGAGACTGCAGACGGCGAGCACTAAACATCTTCAACACACCCAGAGAAGACACTGCCGAGAAGAGATACATAGTCCTTCCCACCAACTCCATTGCCAAACTGTTTCCAACATCTTTGCCAAAACATCATTCCAAGTATCTACCTCCACAACCACGACCATCAAGGACATCACCAGTAGTAGGCAGGACAAGCCTCCATCCTCTGCAGGGGTATACATAATCCCTTGTAATGACTGCAACAAGTTATACGTGGGCGAAACATCAAGGGACCTCCAAACACGTATTTCAGAACACCAATACGCAAGCAGGTCTGACGACACAAGGAATGCCTGCGTACAACACCGTAATTCACACAACCACTTGATAAACTACAGAAACTCAAGACTTATCGCCACAGAAGAAAACACTCAATACCGAAGAATCCTGGAATCATCACTTATTTCTATATCCGACAACTTCAACCAGAATAGTGGCTTCTACAACATAGCTGAACCACTTGCCAAGAAACTTCTTCATCGCTATCCCACATAAGAACACTGTAGAAGGTCTGCTCACAAACTTGTCCAGTCTCCTTTCCAAGCTACCCAAGTTTTTAGACTCTACAACCCAACTCGGTACATCATCAGATGCAGCATTCTTCACCTGACCTCAGCTGGACTATAAATACTCGCGTTCCTTCCACCCCAGGTAGTTCTGTTTGTGACTTGAAAAAGCCCACTGTGTGGGCGAAACGTAGTCAATAAAGGATCACATTATACTGCATTTGTGTTTATATTGCCATCTACCTCGGTCGGTCGATCAATGGGTAGGTTAGTCTGTCTGTCTGTCTGTCTGTCTGTCTGTCTGTCTGTGTCTGTGTCTGTGTCTGTGTGTCTGTCTGTCTGTCTGTCTGTCTGTCTGTCTCTCTCTCTCTCTCTCTCTCTCTCTCTCTCTCTCACACACACACACACACACAAAGAACACGGGAAAATAAGGAGATTAGTCTAAGAGCCAGGAACGAGTATGCACAGGTAAGGAGGGAGGCCCAGCGACAGTATTAAAATAACAGCATCGAAAGTCAAGTCTGACCCGAAACTGCTGTACAGCCACATTAGGAGGAAGACAACAGTCAAAGACCAGGTGATCAGGCTGAGGAAAGAAGGTGGGGAACTCTCAAGTAACGATCACGAGGTATGTGAGGAGCTCAACATGAGATTTAAGGAAGTATTTACAGTACATAAGAACATAAGAACATAAGAACGAAGGAACACTGCAGAAGGCCTACTGGCCCATGCGAGGCAGGTCCAAGTCTCCTACCGGCTTAAGCCAATGCACCCAACCTAGTCAGGCCAGGTCACATTGACTTAAGGGAGGAACACGGCAACCGACCTGGTAGCACAAGCTATCAGGTCTAACTCACACCCACCCACATCTACTCATGTATTTATCCAACCTATTTTTAAAGCTACACAACGTTCTGGCCTCTATAACGGTACTTGGGAGTTTGTTCCATTCATCCACAACTCTATTACCAAACCAGTACTTTCCTATATCCTTCCTGAATCTGAATTTTTCCAACTTAAAACCATTGCTGCGAGTCCTGTCTAGGCTAGATATTTTCAGCACACTATTTACATCCCCTTTATTTATTCCTGTCTTCCATTTATACACCTCAATCATATCCCCCCTAATTCTACGTCTTTCTAGAGAGTGCAGTTTCAGGGCCCTTAGTCTATCCTCATAGGGAAGGTTTCTGATACATGGGATCAACTTTGTCATCCTCCTTTGTACATTTTCCAGAGAATTTATATCCATTCTGTAATACGGTGACCAAAACTGTGCAGCATAATCTAAATGAGGCCTAACCAAGGATGTATAGAGTTGAAGAAAAACCTGAGGACTCCTATTATTTATGCTTCTTGATATGAAACCAAGGATTCTATTAGCTTTATTGCGAACACTTATGCACTGTTGTCTTGGTTTCAGATTACTGCTAACCAGAACTCCTAAATCTTTTTCGCAATCCGTAATATTAAGATTACATTATTTAGTTTATATGTGGCATGGTTATTGTCCTGTCCAACATTTAGAACTTTGCATTTGTCTATATTAAACTGCATCTGCCACCTCTCCGACTACTGCATCAGTCTACTCATATCTTCCTGGAGTGCTCTAATGTCCTCGTCAGAATGAATTCGACGGCCTATTTGGTGTCATCGGCAAAACTTGCTGATGTCGCTCTTTATGCCCTCATCTATGTCGTTTATGTAGATTGTGAACAGCAGGGGGCTCAACACTGACCCCTGTGGAACACCGCTCGTGACGCTTCCCCACTCTGATTTCTCCCCATTTATGCAAACTCTCTGCTGCCTATTTGTCAACCATGCCTCTATCCAGGAAAAAATTTCTCCTCCTATTCCATGTGCCTTAATTTTCCTCAATAGTCTCTGATGTGGGACCCTGTCAAAAGCCTTACTGAAGTCCATGTACACTATCATATTCATTACCATGATCTACCTCCTCAAATACCTTAGTGAAAAAAGTTAACAAATTCGTAAGGCAGGAACGCCCCTTTGTAAAACCATGCTGAGATTCGTGATTAATTTATGCTTTTCAAGGTGGCTACGAACTGCCTCGGCAATTATTGATTCCATAAATTTTCCCACTATGGAGGTTAGGCTTATTGGTCTATAGTTTGAAGCTAAGGACCTGTCACCTGCTTTGAAAATAGGTATCACATTTGCCATTTTCCACTTATCTGGCACCATGCCAGTTTGTAGTGATATGTTGAAAAGATTAGCCAAAGGTTTGCTAAGCTCCTCTTTACATTCCTTTAGAACCCTTGCATACAGTTCATCAGGGCCTGGGGATTTGTTAGGTTTTAATTTATCTATTTGCCTAAGGACCATGTCACTTGTGACCCTAATCGTGCACAGTTTATTATCGTCCTGTTCCACATAATTTATCATTTCTGGAATATCGCTGGTATCCTCCTGTGTAAAAACTGAGAGGAAGTATGTGTTAAAACTTCTACACATTTCCTTATCACTGTCAGTGAGCTGACCCGAGGAACTTTGAGTGGGCCTATCTTGTCCCTGATCTTACTTCTGTATACCTGAAAGAATCCTTTTGGTTAGTCTTCAAATCTCTTGCAACTTTAACCTCATAATCTCTTTTTGCTTTTCTAATTCCTTTTTTTATTTCCCCTCTCCTCTTTTGATTTGCCTATATATGCCTCTCTTTTGACCAATTAGATATTTTAATCTATTGTTCATCCATTTAGGATCATTTTTGTTTGATCTGATTTCCCTATTTGGAACATAATTTGACTGAGCAGCTAGAACTATGCCCTGGAAAGCGTCATATCGGCATCCATCACCACCTACCTGACCCTTAGTCAGGTCATTCCAGTTCAGCCCACCTAAGTAATTTTTCAGTCCTATGAAATCAGCCAAGCAGTAGAGACAGGAATGGCTCTGAGAAGACAGCACAGAGAGGAACACCAACAGGGAATATACCAACAGGTGCTGGATGACATACAAACAACGGAGGAGGAGGCGCAGAAGCTGCTAAGTGACCTCGATACTTCAAAGGCGAGGGGTCCAGACAACATCTCCCCATGAGTCCTTAGAGAAGGAGCCGAGACGTAGTGAGTGTCACTAACCACAATCTTCAATACATCCCTTGAAACTGGGCAACTACCCGAGGTATGGAAGATGGCAAATGTAGTCCCCATTTTTAAGAAAGGAGACAGAAACGAGGCACTAAACTACAGACCAGTGTCACTGACGTGTATAGTATGCAAAGTCATGGAGAAGATTATCAGGAGAAGAGTGGTGGAGCACCTGGAACGAAACAAGATTATAAACGACAACCAGCACGGATTCATGGAAGGCAAATCCTGTGTCACAAACCTTCTGGAGTTTTATGACAAGGTAACAGAAGTAAGACACGAGAGAGAGGGGTGGGTCGATTGCATTTTCCTCGACTGCAGGAAGGCCTTCGACACAGTTCCTCACAAGAGATTAGTGCAGAAGCTGGAGGATCAGGCGCGTATA